TTGTACCCAAGTGTGAGATTTTGCAGAAGCTGAGGAGACTTGTTGACCATTTGAATATTAAAAATGTAGCGTAGTATTCTTAACTTATCAAAAGGTAAACTAATGAAAAAATAGCCATGTTATCATCATCATCATCATTAAGAGGAATAACAAAATATTTTTCAATTTGATCCACTTTTTCTCCACAAGCTTTCTGAATTCCTAAGTCAATACTGATCCCAAGCCAGAATCAAATGATAGTTAAAGGTAACGGTAAAGGTTCCCCTCACACATATGTGCTAGTCGTTCCTGACTCTAGGGGGCAGTACTCACCCTTTCAAAGCCGAAGAGCCAGTGTTGTCTGAAGACGTCTCTGTGGTCATGTGGCCAGCATGACTAAATGCCAAAGGCGCACGGAACGCTGTTAACTTCCCACCAAAGGTGGTCCCTATTTTTCTACTTGCATTTTTTACGTGCTTTCGAACTGCTAGGTTGGCAGAAGCTGGGACAAGTAACGGGAGCTTACCCCATTACGCATCACTGGCGATTCAGTCTGCTGAAATGCCGACTTTTCGATCAACAAGCTCAGCGTCTTAGCTACTGAGCCACCGTGTCCCTTAAATGATAGATACCCATCACCTTTTCTTTTAATGAGTGTTGGGGAGATGAGAGGGAGATAGCTTTCCACTAAGGTTAAGAATCACACATTATTTTTAGCTGTATTAATTTTCAATTGCCAAGTAACCAAGGCTCAAAATCATTCAATCGTTAAGGTTGAGTGAACCAACATAATAAGAAGAGGATGTTATGAAACAATATGAAATAAGAGACCGAGAAAAGCATTTCTAAAAGAAACTCATTTTCTGTTCCTATAAGGATCATTCATTAAATATGAATGAACAGTTATAAAATATGTAAATAGGCTGGGCAGAGGCAACTGCAACCCATTCAGTAAGTACTTTAAACTAAAGTCACTCTTGAAATGATAATTCAGGATTGGACCAGGAAAGGTATATAATCTGGACATTTTTCAGTTTCCTTTTTTTCTGTCCCATATTTGGATTTGAGTTTTTTTCTACAAAATAAGTCAAAAGAGAGAAACAATGGAAATCAAAAATAATTCAAGAAATTAGACAGGTCCTACAATATAGGCACAAGCAAAATAAGAAAAGAATGAGAGTGTTAGGACTGCAAATAGAGGGAATGCAACTCCATCACACTGAATGACTTACGTGTCAAACTGACGGTAAGGAGCCATGTTGAAAGGCAATGTTATTGTGCGCATTATTTTTGTTCCAGTGGTGATCATACTAATGAGATGGTCTCCTGGCTTGTAATAGCCCCATGGTTTTTTTCCATCCTGGTGCTTGAGGTTCAGTGGACACTTCGTTCTAAGTTTCCCATGGACTGGGTGGGACAGAAGGATCAGTAACAGAATCAGAAGATCCATGAATTATGGAGCTGAATCAATTGCCTTCCAGTTTCTAAATGAGTACAAGAAGAAGAGTTAGATGATTTCACAGCACCCTCACAATATGAAATTCTAATGGCTTTCCTGATTCAGACAGAGAAAAAATCCCAAGCTTCACCTGGAAAGGAGAGAAAGTACATTCAAGAACACAGTCCCTGTCCCCAAACTGGTGCTGCAATATGTGTGCTGGGGCATTTATTCTTTTCTGATGCAAGATAGCTTCTATGTTGTTTCAGTCTGATGTTTATCTCAAAGACAGTCAGTGGATAAGTAGCAGAAGAGGTCTCAAACAAATAATTCCCTCAACACTGTCAAATTATTTACTAAGTCTGCACTACTATTAATCTTCTTATCGTTCCTATCACCCATCTCCTCCCACTTATGACTGTATGACTGTAACCTTGTTGCTGGTATCCTTACGGTTTATATTGACTGTTTCCTAATAGGATTCGATTGCTTATTTGTTCCCTATGACTATCATTAAGTGTTGTCCCGTATGATTCTTGATGAATATATCTTTTCTTTTATGTACACTGAGAGTGTATGCCCCAAGACAAATTCATTGTGTGTCCAATCACACTTGGCCAATAAAGAATTCTATTCTATTCTATTCTATTCTATTCTATTCTATTCTATTCTATTCTATTCTATTCTATTCTATTCTATTCTATTCTATTCTATTCTATTCTATTCTATTCTATTCAGACCAGAATTTTAAAAATTATAGTGAGAAGCAATTTCTCTGCGGATCTTAAATTTCTTCAGGGCTCCATTTGCAGAGGAGTAGCTGGAGGGGGAAAAAAAACCCCATCTTAGTGAAAAATCACAAATGGGGCATTTTTTGTAGTGGTTGTAGTCCTTCCTGCCAGATCTTGTCCATAAAGTGATGCTGTATGAAGATAGTTCAACACTCAGATGACTTTTGTTCAGTGGTGGGATTCAAATAATTTAAGAACCGGTTCTCTGCCCTAATGACCGGCTGGATGGGTATGGCAATGGTGGGCATGGCCAGGGGGTGTGACAAGCAGCACTCGGCCTCCTGCACCCCCCTGGGAGCAAAAACAGGGCTGCAGGAGATGCACTGCTCCCCATGCCCCATTTTGGGCCTAGTAGGCCTCCCTGCAGCCTCCTAGGAGCAAAAACAGATCATGGGGGCCAGACTGCACCCCTGTGCCCTGTTTTGGGCCTAGTAAGCCTCACTGCAGCCACCTGGGAGGAAAAATGGGCCATGGGGGGGTTTCCAGAAGAGAAGGGAAATAAAACAACCACCTAGATGTAAAACACAGTCACTCCTTAAACGTTTAAATTTAAATTTATGTAATTTTCTTATATCTCCTTTTCTCCTTTTCTTCTTAAAATATTCCTTTGTTCTTCAAACAGCTGCTTCCTGTTTTGTCTATTTAAATACAGTATCACAGTACTTTTTCTTTTCTCCAGCAGATGGCACTCTCAGTTTCTACACGTTGCAAAATAGTCTTTTAAATCCAATTGTTTATCAAAATATTCAGTAATTTTTCAAAACCTCTTATAATTTGTTATTTTTCTTCCAAACATCGTTTATTCCCTTTTAAAAATATTTTGCTTTTTCCCAATTTTACAAATCCAAGACTTTCTCTTAGATTCTTTGTGTTATAGTTCATGCTTTCTCTTTTTTCTGCATTTGTGTTTTTTCTCCCCAAGTGCCAGATAGCCACTAACCAAATTCAGGGATTCTTTTAAGACTTCAATTCCTGTTTTTCTTAGCTTAAATTGGCAGTTATCTCACCCAGTTCTGGCACTCCATCCAAATGCCATTTCTGCTCAATTCTTTGGTCCAATTGTCCCAGCTTCAAAGCGGCCAACATAAGATGGTCGCCGCCCCCACTGCCGCTTCGGGAGAGCTGTTCCTGTTCCAGCAAGGAAATTGCCAATTCCTCGCAGTCCACAAAACTCCTCTCCTTTCTTCACCATCCCTACAAGATGGCTATGGCTTGAAAGCCTCCCATCAGTGGTTCATCTGGCTGGATTTTGCGTGGCCCACTATTTTCCAGTCCGTTCCCGCTGCGATATCAACCGGCTGGACATATGGCTATTTTGTGTCCCCTGTGCAACTGGTATCTGTATAAACCAGATAAATAGATTATGTATATCTATTGGAGATTTAAGTACTGATAGCATCAACCTGTCTTGTTTCCTTGCCTAAGATTAGCCCAGGTTCCCAGTGAAGTAAAAGAGGCAAGGATAACTCTAATCAAGACTGGACATGCTTCCTGTTGACACCATTGGGAAATATGCTTTGGCATTCAGGTTTAGGTTATCATGGCTGGGCAAGTTTATATTTTTAAATAGATCATACTGGTCAGAATTTTCCATACTTGTCTTTCATGCCTTGGGGATAGAAGAAAAGGCCTTCTGCTCCTAGGGAGAAGGTCCAAAGCTTTCCATTCACAAGAAATCATAATGACTGTTCTAATGTTACTTGACGCAGAAAACTGAAGCACTGAAACAAGGATTGATCCAATTTCTACCATATATGGGAGATTTCTACCATATGTGGTGGGAATGGCCAAAGGCAAAAAAATATTGGAATTTAATAAAGATTTGGCTTGAAGAAATGTTATTAATAAAATAGAAGTTAAGCTGGAATTTTTCCTCTTGGGAAAGACAGAGGGTAAATATAAGAAAGATATAAATTATCTATTACTGCATATACTCACAGCGGCATGGATAGCCTTTGCTCAGAAGTGGAAAGAGAAAGATACCCCAACTGAAGAGGAAATAATATTAAAAATTCTTAACTGCACAGAAATGGATAGACTTACCTTGGAGCTCAAGGATAAATGTGAAACACAGTACTATATAATCTGGAAATTTTTTTACGAATGGCTAGATAAAAGGAAGATAGCTGAGACAAAAGTGTAATGTTAGATGAGAAATATATACGTTATGATAGGTAAATATGTATGTAAATTGCATATATAGGTACAGGTATAGATTAATAGACAAATATGTATAATTGTATAGAAATATCATATAGATTATTAGTATGATGTTATGTATAAATAACATAAAAGGTTAAAGAACTATATTATAATATTAACATTAATATAATTTGTATTAGTTTAAAGTGTTGGAAGATATTCAGAACCAGTGATGTCATATCTATGTTCGATGTTTTTAATTTTGAATGATTAATAAAAAACTTTTAAAAAAAAGGATTGACCTGAAGAAAAGCCCTTCCTCATTTTGGAAGAAAAGAGGGACAATTTTTTTGGGGGGGGGGAGTTACTTAGATTTGGCCTTTAGTTTATCACTTCATATGAAACATCCTTGAATGCAATTGTTTATCTTGATTGTCAGCTACCTTAAGTCTCTCTCTGGAAAAAAAGGAGACTCCATATTTAACCAATAATAAATGTAGCTCTGTCTTTTCATGCTAACTGGTGTCTCCTAATGGTGGTTGTTCAACAGAAAAAAACCTTTTTCTGAAAACCTTACTTGACCCTGTCACATGTCACATGTGATACAGCAAAAAATGCCTGATTTTTGAGGGTCATGTTCTCATGCAGAAATGGGCTTCACATTCTGTCACCACCAGTTCACCCAGCACCGGAAATGTGAGTGTGTGCTCCACATGTGTGACACATCAAACAACATGGTAATTCACTCACGTGCGACATCCATGCATCCGTGCAACATCAAAACCACAGCGATATAGGACAGGATTGCACCTGGGTGGATGGGCGGACCCACCCGCAGATCGCTACTACCGGTTCACCCAAACCAGTCCGAACCAGCTGAATACCAGCTCTATTCTCATGACTAACCTCCATTTCATCTCACTCTAGTTCTAGAAACTAGGTAGTCAGTTTTAGCCTTGGTTCACCATCATGGTGGCCATATAAAATTAGCAAATAAACATACAAATAAACAAAGAACAGATGCATTAAGGTTGACAGCCCAAATTTATAATGAAGTTTTCCTTTATTGGAGGTGGTTCTGGACCACTTTTGAATGGGGATGGCCTTGCATATGATACATAGTAGTCCAGAACCCAACCAAACCCCAGTTCCTTCATCACAGTTTTATTCTATTTTAATAATCTATAAAATATAAAAAAATCATAAAAAATCAAAAACTTTTTAAACAAATTTCATTCTAATCCTTTAATTTAACCCAAATTCAAAATTTAAAATCATGGGTAAATATATAATAAAAGTGCATCATATTAATACAAATATATGTGTTGTATATATATATATGTGTGTGTGTATGTGTGTGTATGTGTGTGTGTGTGTGTATGTGTGTATGTATGAATGTGAATATTGTGTGATGTATGTATGTATGTGACACTATTGTCAATTCATTGTTAAAGTTTCTCAATTGCTTAGGTCCAGAATTTATTAATAGAAATGTCCTGTAATTGCAAAATGTATTCTAGCAGCAGCAAATAGGGAAATCAAAAAAGAATCTGTCAGTAGTTGTATCTACCTACAACATTGAGAGTTACTTAAAACTTCGTGTTTACCTAAGTGAAGTCAGCAACTAGTTGACTAATGTTCCTGTCTACCTCCATTTTCATTAAGGGTTAGGTTCTAACATATTTTGTTTGGCATCCTGGTTTTCTGCTTAGTCTTTGCCTCGGTCCAAATGTGTGGAAAATTGTCATCCTGGATTTTTCAAGCAAGCTCGAAAAGGAGAGCCAGTATGCTGCTATGACTGTATTCCTTGTCCAGAAGGGACCATCTCCACTCAGGAAGGTGAGTGACGCCAAAGAAAAGGCTACTAGATTCATCCAGAGCATTTTGATCAATGTGCATTTTAAAAGAGACATCTAAGGTTAACAATTTTGTGGTTCTCAATTTTCATGGTGCCCGATTTCTTCCCTAAGGGGAAGAATAAGAAAAAGATTTTGAGGGACAAGGTAGGAAAAGATAGAAGAACATGGTAGATTCTGCAAGATTATTTGCATCCGAGGACATTTCTCTTTTCTTGCTAGTTTGGAGCTGTCTTCCCATCTTTACTGCTCTTAGGAACATCTGCATTCTTTGCAATTGAGAAATGGTTTCAGATCAATGACTTTTGCTCACCCAAACCCAGTTTGTATTACAGGCCAAAAGATATATAAATCAATCGATCAATTAATCAGTCAATCTTTATTAAGGTCATGTAACCAGAAAAGCAGAAAGATCTAATTCAGATAACCATGGACAGACGAGAGAAATCCACACAGAAGACTTTCCATAAACGATGTGGAAGAAAGGACATAAATTACATTTACCATTATTAGGGGTAAAATCTGCCTCTTTTATTTTTAGTGCTTTATTTATCCATATTATGGATTAAGAGGTAAAACCCAAATATTGTTTATAGCCCAGTTTGGCATTCCCAGATTTAGCATAACCATGGTTTCCTTGTTTTCCTTGGTTGGACTGCTACTGTGACTTACCTTGAATATTGTACATAAATCAATCGATCAATCGATCGATCAATCAATCAATCAATCAATCAATCTTTATCAAGGTCATGGTAACCACACAAGCAGGAAGAAGTAATTCAGGGGACCACAGAGGGAGAGGATTTGGGTTCAAGGGACAAGAGAAATATGTACAAAAGACTCACCATAAAAGACTTGGAGCAGTTTTGTGTGAAAGAAGGGATGTAAATTAAATTACCATTAGTAGGGATAAAATTTGCCTTTTTTATTTTTACTGCTTTAATTTTCCATATTACGGACTAAGAGGTAAAACACAAATATGGTTTATAGGCCAGTTCAACATTCCCAGATTTTTTTTTTTTCAGAGCAATGGCTTTTGCTTCCCCAAACCAACTTTACTTTACAGGTCAAAAGTTGCCTCAATCAATCATTCAGTAAATACAGTTGTAGGCTCCATCAAAATCCTATATTCCATAATATTGTTTGAGGTGCACAGGCTCCAAGTGTCTTTCCAAGTGGAATCCAATTCTTGCTAAAGCCTCACTTTCCACAGAACCAGGGTGTCAGTGGGACTTTTCTCTCTGAGGTTATTGGCTTGTCCCACCAGAGCAAGAATGATAGGCATGCTTCAGGTCCTTTCATAAAACAACTGCTATCTTGTGGGTTCTTGGAAGCCTGCCTTTTCTGTTGCAACTCCTGCACCACTGATCAACAACCTCGTCAAATTCCAAAAGGCTCCCACTCAGTGGTGAAATCCAATTTTTTTTTTACTACTGGTTCTGTGGATGTGGCTTGGTAGGCATGGCGGGGAAAGATACTGCAAAATCTCCATTCCCACCCTACTTCAGGGGAGGGATACTTCAAAATCTCCATTCCCACCCCACTTCAGGGGAGGGATACTGCAAAATCTCCATTCCCACCCTGCTCTGAGGCCAGCCACAGGTGGTATTTGCCGGTTCTCTGAACTACTCAAAATTTCGCTACTGGTTCTCCAGAACCTATCAGAACCTGCTGGATTTCACCCCTGCTCCCACTCCTCTAAAATTCTGGAGCCTGGTTCTTCTCCCCACTATTGAGATAAGCTGAGGGTTAATTCAGGATGAGAAAGTAAAGGGTTGTTGTGGCATGATACAATTCTTTTTTGGGCTTTATTTGTTATGATTGTTGTTGTCAGTGGTTGCATATATTGGGTGATTTTTTGCTGGGCTTTAAGCTGCCCTAGGTTTGGTTAAGTTAATTATCCAGACAAATGTTTTATATATGTATGCAGGCTCGTATTTACCATTTACTATGGCTTTGCTGTCTCTTGTCTTATCAGCTGTCATCCAAAGAAAGTATTTCTTGAAATGCAAAAAGAGAGACTATATAAGAAAGATTACTTTCTATTTTCTCAGATACTGAAAAGTGCACCAAGTGCCCAGATGATCATTATCCAACAGAGAACCGAGTCCAATGTATCCCCAAAAGAATAATATTCCTATCCCATGAAGAGTATCTGGGAATTATCCTGGTCACCTTTGCCCTATTCTTCTTCCTAACCACAGGTTTCATTTTAATCATATTCCTTAAATACTTAGAAACTCCCATTGTTAAAGCCAACAACCGGGACCTCTCCTACATCCTCCTAATTTCTCTCCTGCTTTGCTTTTTGTCCTCCTTTCTCTTCATTGGACAACCAAGGAAAGTCACCTGCCTTCTCCGACAAACAGTGTTCAGCATTGTCTTCTCAATAGCCGTGTCTTCTGTGTTGGCCAAAACAATCACAGTAGTATTGGCCTTCCTTGCTACAAAACCAGGGAACAGAGTGAAGAGATGGTTGGGGAAGAGCTTGGCCAATTCCATTATCCTTTCTTGTTCTGGTGTCCAAACTTTCATCTGTGCCCTATGGTTGGGAGTTTCTCCCCCATTCCCTGACTCTGATCTCTATTCCCAACCTAGAGAGATCATCCTTCAATGCAACGAAGGCTCTGTCACCATGTTTTATACTGTCCTTGGCTATATGTGCCTCCTAGCAGCCATCTGTTTTTTGGTGGCTTTCCTGGCCAGGAACCTGCCTGGGGCCTTCAATGAAGCTAAGATGATCACGTTCAGCATGCTGATCTTTTGCAGTGTCTGGATCTCCTTCCTGCCCACCTATCTGAGCACAAAGGGGAAATACATGGTGGCTGTTCAGGTCTTCTCCATCTTGGTATCCAGTGCTGGACTGTTGGGCTGTATCTTCTTCCCCAAGTGCTACATTATCATCCTGAGACCAGATCTGAACACCAAGGAACATCTAATGATAAAAGCTGGGAAGTAATATTAAAAGTGTGTCTTAGGTTCATGACATTTAATTTTTCATTACTGTTATTATTGGACTTGTATGCTTCCTTGGCATCACTTTGACAATTAAAATTATTTAAAACCAAAGGAAATAAACTTACAAAGTGTGTAAACCTAATGAAATTAAATTCAACATAATTATCAAATGGTAAAATAAATGAATTAATAATTAAAAGACCCAGCAGGAGCTCTTCCCTAACAGACAAAGAAGAGAACAAAAAATGAAGGAATACTGCCATTCCATATGTTGCAAGAATATCTGAAAAGCTCAGGAGGATTTTCAAACAATATAACATACATACACAACTTACAGCCCAAAATACACTAAGGCAGACGCTTGTCCACCCCAAGCAGGGGTGAAATGCTCCCGGTTCGGACCAGATAGCCCGATCCAGTAGCGATGGTGGCGGGTGGTTCGGAGAACCAGTAGCAAAAATCCCTCCCCCCCGCCCAGCTGAGCTGCGCAATCATCAGAGGCTTTTTTAAAATTTTTAAAAGTATATTTTCTACAACCTCTTAGGCCGAAAAAATGCTTTTAAAAGTAAAAAAAAAAAAAAGCCCTTGATGATTGCGCGGCTCAGCTGGGACCATCAGAAGCTTTTAAAAGCATTTTTTCTACCACCTCTTTGACTGAAGAAGTCTTTAAAGCGCTCCATGGCATAGGACCTAGTTATCTTCGAGACTGCCTTCTGCCACCGACGACCTCCCATCGACCCGTGCGCTCCCACAGAGAGGGCCTCCTCGGGGTGCCATCAGCCAAGCAATGCAGGCTGGTGACCCCCAGGGGGAGGGCCTTCTCTGTGGGGGCTCCCACCCTCTGGAATCAACTGCCCCCAGAGATAAGGAGAATCCAAGACCTTCGTGCCTTCCGCCGTTCCCTTAAAACTTTCCTTTTTCAACAAGCCGGGCTGGCCTAACAAATCCTTTTAAATGATTTTAAATGATTTTAAATTTGTTTGTCTTTTTAAATTTTGGGCCAAATTGAGATATTTCCTTTTAATCTGTTCTTAATCTATGTATTATGTATTATGTATTTATGTGGTTTACTTGGCTGTACACCGCCCTGAGTCCCTAGGGAGAAGGGCGGTATATAAATCTAAAGTAAAATAAAAATAAATAAATAAAATAAAAAGACGAGGGAATTCGCTGAGGGGATTCATCTCCAGGATTGTGAGGTGATTCTGGACTGTGCCATCTGTAAGAGGGCAAAGAGGAAGGCCGCCCCAATACCTTAGGTGTCACTGCGTAAAACTCAATATCCATATAAATTAATACATGTTGATTTGGTTGGGCCATTTACACCGTCCCTAGGAAAGAGGCAGTATTTCCTCACTACCGTCGATGATTGAGGTATGGCCATGTGTATACCCTCACAGAAAAGTCTGAAGCCTTTGATGCCATAAAATCATTGTACAACTATGTGGAAACTCAGTACAAGACAAAGATCGCGCAGCTGCAGAGCGACCGTAGGGCTGAGTTCATGTCCTGAAAATTCCAGCACTGGATAAGGCGAAGGGCATACACCATTTTCGTACAGCACCTTTTACTCCTGCGCAGAACGGTGTGTCAGAAAAATGTAAAGGCATTCTGCAGACCATGGTGCACAGCCTGATTGCGGATGCTGGGGTTGCGGAATTGTACTGGGCGGAGGCAGTACACTACGCCAACTACACCCTGAACCGCACCTGGAGCAGCATTGTGAACCAGACCCCATATTTTCTGGTCCACAGTAGGAAGCCAAGTTTGGGACACTTGCGTGTGTTTGGCTCCTACGCTTGGGTGCACATCCCCAACCAGCTGCGGAAGAAGGGGAGATCCGTCTCCCAGAGACTGAGGTTCTTGGGCTATGCCCCTGGCTCCAAGGCCTACCGATTCCTGGGAGAAGGGTGCAGGACTGCGACCTCCCAATCTGCCTCCTTCGAAGAGGACTCCAATTGGACACAGATCCACTCAAATGATCTGGGCCCATACATTAACCGGCCCAGCAAAGCTGCACCAACCATGACACCGCCTGAGACAACCACATACCCTGCCACCGATGAGAGCGAGGAACAGGATGAAGAGGTCAGCCTACCTGGTCCAGATGAGGAGGATGAGCCGTCCAGTCCTGAGGGGGAAGACACTCAATCTTCACCTGACTCTTCGCCTCCAGCAATGCTTCAGAGGCCCATGATGCCCAACGCCTGGGACCGAGGACCTCCACATCCCAGTCGTGAACAGCCAGTTGGCAAGGAACCCACAGAGGAAAAGGGTGGTGAATGGCAGGAGGTCAGAAGGTCAAAGTGGTCCAACAAGGGCCGCGGCAGGAGGTCAGAAGGTCAAAGTGGTCCAATAAAGAGAATTGACATTGGGCACGTCGCATCCGTCAACAGCATCATGGTCACCCCAAAGACTTTCTCTGACATATTCACTGGCACCTGTCATTGGCTGGCAAGAAGGCGAATTGTTAGATGTTTTGTGCCAGCCGTGGCAGTCTCTTTAAAGGCCACCAGATGGGGGCAAAGAGGCACCTTTGATCCCACTGGTGGGTCAAGGGGCTCCAGCCCCTGCAGCCCCATTGGGGAGAGTTAATGGCCCTCCAGCCCCCTCACACACCTTGTAAGGGAGGGGCCAGGGGCCCCTATAAGAACCCCTGCACAGGGGCTGCTCCCTGCCTTTTGCTTTTCCCTGCCCTTTTTCCCTGCTCTTGTTCTACTCTCCTATGGGACTGAGCCATGGGCTCAATCCAGGCATGGATGCCTCCATGCCTGGGAACTTATTTTACTCTACTTTTACTTCTAAATAAAGACTTAATTTGATTGCATCCTTGCGTGCTGACCTTTTCTTGGAAGTGCCCTCAATGAACCATCGTTCTTCATGAGATCCCTCACAGTATGTGCCACCTCTGTGCACACGCACAGCCTTCCATGCATGTGCAGTAGTCGCACGTTATGTCCGGGTGGGTGGGCGGAGCCTCCCGCAGTCACCGCTACTGGTTCACCCCATCTGGAGAGAAACGGCTAAATCCCACCATTGGAAGAGCTCACATACATTCGACAAACTTCCTCAACCAAAAGAGCCTTATAGACACAGACTGGTGTCTTACATACACATGTACTATAAATGATGTCCTTATGTGGCAATGGGAAAGGACACAGAAACAATCTCACAACACTGCACCCCAACTGTTATCCCTGGCTGCAGATTGAAGGTTGCAACTCCCACGTCTGACACCAGTTTCTTTGGAATCAAATGCAGGACCCAAAAAACCTCCAATAATCAAGGTTCACGGTAGTTGTTATTTATTCAATGTACACTGGAAGGATTCCTCTCCAGAAAATAGTAGGAAGTAATCTTAGAGACAAAAAGATGTGCTCATATTTATACATTTCCTGAAAGAACGACTAAATGATAATCATACATATGCATTTTTATTAGATCATGTAAGCATTAATATTCATAATCACCAAGATGCAAGTTATTTCCTCATCCATCTACTGTTACTATCCTCAAGAAAGAGTCATTGTGTAAATGAAAAGGCTGCATCAGTTGCATTCCCATAGCAGTCTGGATAAAATGTACTGAAAAATGAGGGTGTCAAGGTTTCCCCATGAATTCCCTCCCATTTTTTCTAATTTGTTAACATGCTCCCACTCCCTCAAGAACTTGTTTTCCTCACTATTCTATCTTCCAGCTGCCCTTTAATTATTTTGACCAAAATGTTTGGTCTGACTCATTTATGGAGAACTATTTGGACCATTTCTAGGTCTGTCTTGTTAGAACATGTTCTGAGTCAGAAATTCCTCTTTCTTACATTTCTGCATTTTTTTCTGGTCATAAACTGCTTCTTTGTATTTAGGTCTGGTCTCAGAATGATAATGAAACACTTGGGGATGAAGATGCAGCCCAGCAAACCAGCACTGGAGACCAAGATGGAGAAGACCTGAACAGCCACCATGTATTTTCCTTTGGTGCTCAGACAGGTGGGCACAAAAGTCACCCAGACACTGCAAAAGACTAGCATGCTGAAGGTGATCAGCTTGGCTTCATTGAAGGAACCAGGCAGATTCCTGGCCAGGAAAGCCTCTGTGAAGCAAATGGCAGCCAGGAAACCTTGGTAGCTGAGGGTGATGTAGAACATGACATCAGCCCCTTTGTTGCATTGTAAGATGATCTCTCCAGGCTGGGAATGGAGATCAGAGTCAGGAAATGGAGGAGAAACTCCCAGCCAGATGGAGCAGATGATAATTTGGACAGCAGAACAAGAAAGGATGATGGAGTTGGCCAAGCTCTTCCCCAACCATCTCTTCACTCTGTTTCCTGGTTTTGTGGCCAGGAAAGCAAGCACCGTTGTGATTGTTTTGGCCAAAAGAGAAGAAATGGCAACTGAGAAGATGATGCTGAAAAATGTTTGCTGGAGAAGGCAGCTGGCTTTCCTTGGTTGACCAATGAAGAGAAAAGGAGACAAAAAAACAAAACAGGAGGGAGAGTAGAAGGATGTAAGAGAGGTCACGATTGTTGGCTTTGACAATGGGAGTTTCTTGATATTTAATGAATATGATTAATACGAAGCCGGTGCTTATGAATAAGAGTAACACAAAAGAGACTAGGATGATGCCCAGATATTCTTCATAAGACAGGAAAGATATAATTTCGGGGATACATTGAATTCGGTCTTGATTTGGATATTTATCATCCAGATACTTGGTGCATATTTCTGTATCTGAGAAAACCAGAAAAGCAACATTTTTAAAATATTAAGAGCCATGGTGGTGCAGTGGTTAAAACATTAGTACTACAGGCTAATTCTGCTGACTGCCAGCAGTTCAATCCTCACTGGTTCAAGGTTGACTCAACTTTCCATTCTTCTGAGGTTGGTAAAATGGGGACTCAAATTGTTGGGGACAATATACAAATAATGCTGATTTTGTAAATTGCTCAGAGAGTACTGTAAAGCACTGTGAAGTGGTATATAAATCTAAGTGCTATACCTATTGCTATTAATATTCCACCTCTTTACCTTTCAATATATCATTATTTAGACTAGAACTGATACCAGGAATATCTCGAAGATGCATTTCCTAAAATCTACATAGAAAGAAGATAAGAAGAATATCATTTTCTAAACAAATA